CCCCCCCCCCCCCCCTTCTCTCTCTCTCTCTCTCTCTCTCTCTCTCTCTCTCTCTCTCTCTCTCTCTGTGTTATGTGTCCCTCTTGATTTATATATGGGGATGACCTCCACCTTGTGATTCTCCTGTTTCTACCTCTGGAGTGCTGGGATTATGTTCTGTGCTGTCAGGCAGGATGGTTCAGGATGGGGGCTGAATCCATGGTTTCCTGCCTTCAAGGCAGGCACTTTGTCTGCTGAGCTATGTTCCAAGTCCTAAAGTATTTTTTCTTTGGTCTTCTTGACAGGCCTAGGAGATTCTGAGAGTTCTTCTTCACTAAACACAGTAGTGTTAAACTGCTCATTATAAGGGTTTAAAGTTTAAGAGAACTGGAATTTTCAGAATTTTTCATTCATTCTTTTAGTTGTCCTAAATTCAGTACACAGAACCACTGGGAAGCCTGCTACCAACTTGGACTTCCAATTCCTCACATGCTAATACAGCTAGTTTGTTCTGAGGCTGGAAAGCTGCAATTTTTCCAGAAGCATTAATAATATTCCAGGAGACCCGCTAGCTAGTTAAAAGCCTCTGGTCAGAAATCTGGGCAAAGTTCAAGTTCTTGGCTTTCCCAATTTCCTTTTCCTGATCTTGGGCAAGTCATTTGATCAGGTTGCTTCTTCCTCTGAATTGTGCCTAATGAGAATTAGCTAAGATAATTCCAAGAAACATTCAACAAACTTACTTACTCTAAAAATGTTACATCTTATGTTCAAAGCCAAACATGTTGGCACAAAGAATCCAATGATAAAAAGACAGGAAATGAACTGCTCTGGTGGTCGCACCGACTTCCTTAGGGGGGCTTTGGAGAGCTGGTAACTATGTAATCAGAACTTAGAGCATCCCCACCCCAACAAAGAGACCTCCTTCTCTCTACCACATGACTGTATTTTCTTCAGAACATCTGAAAGGATCGTGAACATCTATGTTTCTCTCTACTAGAGACTAAGTTTTGTGGGGCATCTTACCTATCTAGTACTCTGCTTTGTTCTCAGCATCAGGTGAGTCAGGGTAGGTGCTTGGTACTTGATGAATGGCTGGGTGAACAGTTTAGTAAGCAGAAGCATCAATGGTTGTCTACAGAATGAAGGGCTAAGTGCTAGCTAGGGTTGGGGGCTATAATATAAGTGACACTAGATAGAAATCCGGTGTTGTTTTCACAGGATAACTAAAGTGCCCATTTTCCTGATAACCTATAAAATGGGGGTCCTTTTGAGGCAAGGCTGATCATGTGGAACTGAAATGTTCTAGATTTTAGAGTGCATCTCACCACAGCACAGAGAGCATTTGCATTCTGTTTCCACATGTACTGGGTAAGCTTTAGCAGAATTTCCTGTTATAATAATTGTTTAGAAGGAAGAAATTTGAATATATGAAAAATGCCTTTTGCAATTAAAGTTATCCTTAAGGTATTCCCAGAACTGAGATAACTCAGGATTGGGTGGATCTGCTAAAACTAGATACAATGAAATGGACCTTTGGTACCTATGTAGACAGGCCTCTGGAGAGAAAAATGTATTTTCCCTTCTTATCTTCAAGTCAAGACACAAGATGTGCATATATGAAAAAATGCACCCTCCTATCTACAAGATCATGATTTTAAATGTACTATTATTGTCTCTTTAATTTTTAAGAGATTATTTTATGTGTATGCGTGTTTTGCTCAGTTGTGCACCACAAGCATGCTTGCTATCCAAGGAAGTCAGAATGCATCTGATTCTCCTGGAACTGGAGGTATGGATGGTTGTTAGCCTCCTTGTTGGTGCTGGGAACCAAACCCAGGTCATCTACAAGAGCAACAAGTCCTCTTGACCACTGAGATCTCAGCAGCCCCTTTAATATATTCTTTAGGGACAGAAACTAATTGGTTAACCATGGATAAGCTGGTTAAGCCCAGCCCTGGAAGGAATGAATCATTCCTTCAAATGGGTGCTGCTGACTTTTGAATGAACAAGGTGAGTCTTAGATTAAACAAAGGGATTGGTGAGTAAAACAGCTTCAACGTCCTCTGTCCAGTGATAGCATATGTGGCTTAATATGTGAGGTAGGTACACATGAGAATGGATGCTCACACCGGCCAAAACACCATGTCAGATTTCCCTAGAGCTGGAGTTACAGGCATTTATGAGCTACCTGACCTGGGTACTGGGAACTGAACTCAGGTCCTCTATAAGAGCAGCAGGCACTCCTAACTGCTGAGCCACCAATCCCACCTTTGGCTTAGTTTCAAATGAACACAAACCACACATTTTCCTTGGTTACTCCTAGCTATACTTCTAGTGCCCAGGTAGCCACATGTGTCTAGCTGTCCCCACGCTGATTGCACAGGGCAATTTAATTTCATTAAAGGAAATTCTCCTGGACAGGGTAGTGCTGCTTAGCATGGTGTTTTCAGATCCCTCTTGTAGGGAGCTCAACAATTCTTAGTAATCCTCTTCCCTGGGTAAATGATACTCTCGTAAAGGAAAATATGACAAATTCTTTTTTGTTGCCAGAGAAGACAAGATTGAAGTGCTCTCAGTGTGTGTGTGTGTGTGTGTGTGTGTGTGTGCGCGCGTGTTTGTGGTTTTTCAAGACAAGGTTTCTCTGTGTATGCCTAGCTCAGTTTATAGAACAGGTTGGCCTATAACTCACTGAGATTCACCTGCCTCTGCCTCCCAAGTGCTGGGATTACAGGTGTGCACCACCACCACCTGGCAAGACTGAAGCTTTTATGGGACTCCCCAAAGAGCTAGGAAAGAAGGAAATCAGAGAAGGATTCCGAGTTGCTATATTGCAGGGATGATGGGATAAAAGGATACAGGCTCACTAGAGACATTTGTTGCTTGACTAGAAGTTGGATAAGAAAACACCATAGTTGAGAAAAACTCACTTTGTGTTGATTGAAATTTAATTCTGCTCTAATTTTCTTTTTGAAAAGAATCCTGTGCTGGAAGTATGGGTCAGAGGTCCAGTATTTGCTTAGCATGCTAGATACCCAGAAACATGTAACATATAGGCAGCATGCTTCATTTGTTGAATTAGAGAACAAGGAAAGAAGGGTCTTGGTCTAATTGGGGCCAAAGTTTAAAAAGTGGATGGTTACATGTGGGAGAGAAGGAAAAGGAGTCAAGGCCAAAGTAAAATACAAAGGGGGAAGAAATGAGTCTCTTCTCCATGGAGAGACTCTCTTTACGAGAGTCTTTTCTTACACAGACTTAGGATTCATGTTTGACATAGTAGAGAATATAATTTCTTATTATCAGAGGAGGAATGTAAAATCACGGACTTTGCCCAAGGGCACTTTCTTGGCCTTCCACTCTCCCGTATCTTACATTGTTGGGCATCTTAGTCATGAAGCCTCTAAAGTCTTCTCTGATTTCTGACAACTTTAAATGCAGTTTCTTTTGCCAGCCGTCTGACTTGCAGTCTTGGTACCATCTTTTGTATGCCCAATTATTGGAGTTCTGCAGTACGGCTAACTTTGAATTATTTGGAGAAACAGAGGAAACAGTTCATAGCAGAATGAATCATAATTCATAAGAGGAAACATTTTCCGAGCACTTACCATGTGCCATGCACTTTGCTAAATCCTTAATGTTTTACATTATCTTAGTTAATCCCAATACAACATTGTGGGGATCCAGGTATTGTTACTTCCATGTCATAGAAGTGGAAAATGAGCCCTAGGTGTCGTAGTGATGTGTACCTGTAATTTTAACACTTGGTAAGCAGAGGCAGAAGGATTGCGAGTTTAAATCCACTCTGCTGTATATAGTGAGTTCCAGGCTAGGCTACATAGAGAAACCTTGGCAAAAAGAGGAAAAGGAAACCACAAATGAAGCACTAAGTCATCAGGTCGAGATTAGATAATTAGTAGCAGGTGGAATCAAAGTTCAAAAATCATCTTTGTCCAACTCTGGAACTCACTCTTTTATCTACGGCTTGGCATACGAACTTTTTACACGTATTAATGTTCTGACTCACACTACTCAAAACCAACATAGTATGATCTCCCCCACTGATAGCTTAGATAAACTCATACACTGAACACAAAATTTTTCTTATAAAGTCAGGTGGCTGAGGAAAATTTTGGGGTCATTCTGCTAGAAAGGTTTTGTCGCAGAAATGGCGGGGCTAGTCTCAGTAAGTGACGAGACAAGCCTTGATTCTGGCCTCCTAGGACATTGCTATGGAGATGTTAATGGTGGTGGCTGAGCAGGAACAGAGGGCGCAACACTGCTGGAAGAGGCTGGGTGATGATGGTACAGAAACTTCTTAAGGGATTCATAATTAGATGATTAAAAGCAGCCACTTGGCCCCTCTGTTCTTAGGTTGAAAACCAGAGGCGTCTGCTCTCCTACTTGTGACGAGACAGTGAGCAAAGTGCAAGTGCAGATAGATGTACGTCATAATATGTGGAAGAGGAACCAGTCTGGCCCTCCTTCCTGCCCCTACCCTCTGTACAGTAACACAAGGGCACCGAGGCTAATTTTTTAAAGCAGTGTAAGCTCCTCGTTTATGAATATGGATTTATCTCTTCTAACAGACTAAGATTTCCCAAGGACACAGACGGTTCGCCGGAACCCATGCAAGGGCCTTTACTTACCATAGGAAGTGGTGCTAAGTGTTTCCAGGCTACATACAAATAACAAGCCGCAGCAAGGGAATGCTGTTCAGTTGCCGTTTTAGAAATTTTGCCCACTTATCTAACTAGTGCTGTTGAAAGTGAGACTTAAACGCTGAAATGAAGTACCTAATTACGTGCGGGTAGACTTTGCAACTGAAAGGTGAGAGATACTATGTTTTGAAGGTCTGGTTTTTGTGAACTTGTAAGGCAATGCAAAGCAGAAGGCTGAGCTTAAGTTTTCTTAAAACCTCAAACTTTCATATCGTTTTCTATAAAAGGATTCAGAGAGGGTCAGGTTGAACGAGACGTGCTCCCGCAAGCCTTTCGACGTTGACATCTTGGGATATTACAATAGATTTAAGATGTCAGTTTGGTACGAATTGCTGCTGATTTAGACCTTACACTCTACATCCAAGTGATTACCTCCCCTTTTAGACAATGTCTGTGCTTGATTAACCCGAATGTCCCTACAACTTAACCACAAGTTATAGGTCCTTGTTGGTAGCCAACAAACGTTTGTCGAATGAATGAATACCTGCTGGCTTAGGTTCTTCGTGTTCAGGATCCTGTAGAGGTCAACCCTCACCCGCCAGTGTAAACTGGCGCTTGCCCCGGATATACATAGTTCTCAATGCGAAGGAACTTGACTTCTCTAACGATCTGTCATAGGCCTGGGCAGACAGAGCATTTAAGGGAATTAGGGCCAGGCAGGTTGGATCCCTAGACCGCCAGCTTGGTCTCTAAGCAAAGTTCCACGTTTAACCACTGACGACATGGGATCAAAGAGAGCCGGAACTTTCTGGTAAGCTACGTTGTCCGCGGCAAAACCTTTCCCCCTGTTCCTGTCACAAATCTCGTCGCCAGAGCAACAGTGGGCGTCAACAAACGCAGGGCGGAAGTAAGGGTATAGTACACGTCTCCCGCTCAAAGAAAGCCCAGGCACAGGCGCAGTAATCTATTTCCGGCTGTAGTTCTCAGTCTAGGAATGCAATCTGCGCCTGCGCATTAATTGTGACGCGCCCAGGCCGACCTATACGCCTGCGTGGGCGTGGCTAGGACCCGCCAGCGCGCACGCGCGAACCCCATCCCGCTGTGGTCGTCCGGTGGTCGAAGTGTCCTGCGTTTGTCATGTCGGCGTCGGTGGTGTCCGTCATCTCGCGGTTCCTGGATGAGTACTTGAGCACCACTCCGCAGCGGCTGAAGTTGCTGGACGCCTATCTCCTTTATATACTGCTGACCGGGGCGCTGCAGTTCGGCTACTGTCTCCTCGTGGGCACCTTCCCCTTCAACTCTTTCCTCTCCGGCTTCATCTCTTGTGTGGGCAGCTTCATCCTAGCGGGTAATGATAGCGCCGTCCTCACAGTGCCCTTTGGTAGTTTGTAGATGGCCGTCGCCTGTGAAATCACGCATGCCTTTCTTGGGATTCAGGAAACAGGCTCAGAAATGCTGTTACGTTTCTAATGCCAAACAGGTACCCAGGAGCTGGAACTGAAGATGTAAAGACACTTTTTTTTTTTCTGGTGATCCACCGCAATTAATAATACTTCTCTAAGGATACATCCTACTCCAACTTTGATGTAGCTTTAGTACAAGTTTAAAGTTGGTAGACCCTTAAATGAAAAAGCCAACCCCGAGCCATTTCTGTCACCTTGGCCTAATCCCCACGCCGTCCAGGGGAAGGCAGGTATAGGGATGTAAATATTGGTGATTGCTTGTGAAGCTGTCTAGTGGGTGCTGGCTTTTTAGGTGCTCCCATTTATTCCTGTGGTTGATGGTCCCCTGTGTTTCTCATCCCCGAGCTCAATTTTTTATTCATACAATTGTGTATTAGCTTTTCTTTCTGGCCTTCCGCATTTGGTAATCTTGTAGACTTCCAGATTTAATGAGGATTGGCTCCACGAATTTCATCTGAAGCCTGACCTTTCTTGCTTCATGGAATTGAGTGAATCCTGGGAATAGGTTTGGCTCAAGAATGTTATAGTGGATGATGGTCAGCAGTGTTTTGGGGGTTTTTTAGCTGTTGCTTCCTGCCCCCACCCTTACCCTCCAGTGAATTAGACCTGGTTAGGCACAGACAAAAATATAGCATTGGATTTCTCTGGACGTTTGATTTACAGGGATACCTTCTTACCATAGGTCTCACATCACATGTACACATTCACACTGCCAGCTCAGGCGCACTGGGGATAATTCTGCTTTTCAGAACGTAAATAGGCCTCAGGACATCATGACTTGTGCCCCAGTTAGAGCTAGAGCTGCAAAGTTAGCTTGTCAGTAGTCACAGTCTTTGGATTTTGGTCCAGTTTCTTGGGGTATGTTAGTACCATCAGCCAGACCTGACACACCTCTTTACTGTACCCAGTACTGTTCACAATGATATTAACCAACCAGGAGAAAGAGCTTTGCTGAATACCTCTGATTTTTTATTTTTATTTTTGTCTCTGGTTATGGAAGTACAGAAACAGGGCGGGGCTGGAAGCTGATTTTTAAATAAGCCTTCTGTTGAAACTACCCGTCTTCAAGAGCCTCTGGGTAATGCTTGCTTCCCAGGACTACGTAGAAAAGAATGATCTGCTGAAAAGTTAGGTTTGCATGATAAAGAGTTCGGCTTTTTCGTTTTCTTTTTTGCAGATGGCTTTTGCTAATGCCAGGTGCTATTTTTTTTTTTAAATATTTTCAAAAATATTCTTTGTGGGCCTCTGTGTATATATAATGTATGGTGAAGTGTCAGTACATGTCTGTATGCATGCGTGCATATATGGAGGTCAAAGAACAGCAGCATTCCTTGGCTAGACTGGACTGGCTGGTTGGCCAGAGAGCCTGAGGGGGGTGTCTTCCTGTTGCGTGGTGAATTGTCTGTCCCCCACTCCTGTTCTGTCCAGATCTGCAGTTACAGATGTGAATAATACCATACCAGGTTTCACATGGATGTTGGGCATCTGAGCCATCGGGTCCTTATGCTTTGAGGCAGGCACTTTACCAATTGAGGTAGCTCTTCCGCTCCCAGGCCTGTTTTTTGTGCCTGTTAAGGCTAGAATTGTCAGGTTCCAGTGGGAGCTGTATGGCTTGTTATTGAATAGACTGCTTAGCGAAAGAACACTGTTAGTAGTGAGACGGTGTCAGCAGTGAGGACATTACTAGGAGGGAGGACATTACTAGGAGGGAGGACATTACTAGGAGGGAGGACATTATTAGTAGGGAGGACTTTATTAGTAGGGAGGACTTTATTAGTAGTGAGATTGGAGTCAGTAGCAAGTAGATTTCCAAATCTTTTAGGTAACAGAATGAGAGAAATGAAGAATTTCTGATCATTCATTGTTGCTGCAGAAAGTTATCATTTGCATCCCCCACCCCCTGTGAACTCAGGGACATTTTGCCCCTGAGCTAAATCCTCAAATCCATCCATCCGTCTGTCCGTCCATTCGTCCATCCACCCATCTTTTTCTGCACAGTGTGTCAGTGTGTAGCCCTGGCTGGGTGGAACTGCTGGTCAGGCTGTCTTGAGCTCACAGAGATCCATGTCCCTTACTTTCTGAGATGTAAGGATGTGTGCAGGAGCCCGGCTGCCACGTTTCTCTTGGTAGCATTGAGTTTACTAAATCCAACCTCTCTTGCTAGCCCAGACCATTGTCTGGTAACTTGTTTTAATGAAAATTTTTGAAATTTGGCTGTTTAGCCTTTGTTCCTATTGTTGAGACAGGAAATCTTATACCTGCTGAAGTTTTGTTTTGATTTTTTTCTCCCTGTGTTTTTTGTTGGAAGACAATGGAAGGGACAGTTTGACTGGTGAAGGGAAGTTGTAGGAAATCACGTTGGAGGATTTTGAAGGACCAAGTGGTGCTGAATGCTCAAGCTTTGGGTGTCAGACCTATTACTATAGGAGATCATCTGAGAATTAAACATGAGAACATGGGCCGGTGAGATGTCTCGGTGGGTGAAGGTGCTTGTCACCAAGCCTGAAACCACCGAGTCTGACCATGGGACCTGCGTGATGGAGGGAGAGAACTGATCTCTGCAAGTCGTCCTCGCTCCTCCACATGCATACACTACACTAAGTGAATCGTGAGTGGACGCACAGACAGCTGTCCACAGCAGTTCTTTTTTGGAAGTAAAGGACAGACTTGTAAGTTGTCGCATGAGTTGGAGGAGGATGCTCTTTCGCTTTGACTCTTCATCCGTGCATGTGTGCATTTGCTCTTGGAAGTTGGTCAGTATGTTTTAAATCAGTTTAGAACACTGCCGTCAAACTTTTAAAAGTCTGATGAGACACGGTGGTGTCTTCTGTCTCCTCATGACTGGGCGACTTATCAGGGTCTCAGGAAGGGCGTGGAGGTTACTGGCCGCCAGGATGAGCTTGTTCAACAGTATAGTGCAATAGTTTTTTAAAGGACCCTGTGGGAGTAATTTTTCTTTCCTGGTTCATTCTCGTAGCAGACTGTTTATCTTATGGCTAGCTCTCCCTCGAGGAGGGACATCTGTCGCTTCTGAGTTAACATTCCAGTGTTGGCAGCTTTCTTAGTTCCCTTTTTTACCTAGATGAAATCTGCTCATTTCAAGTACTAGTAAGTGGGAAGTAGTTAAGTCTGTCCTTAAAATGAGTGTGGCTAAAAATACGTCTTAGTAGGCAAGTACTCCATCACTGAGCTTCAAGTGGATTGCTGAGTCTTGTTGACTGCCAGCTCAGGTTCAGTGAGAGACCCTGTCTCAAAGGGTGAGAGAGAGCAGACACTCGGTGGCCTCTGGCCTTTGAAAGTATGAACACACAGGCATGTGCATCTACACACACACCACATCCGTACACTTAATATAAACATGCATGCACACACACAAACAATAAATTTAAGACATTTACTAAACAAAGTTTTAGTATCGCAGTTAAGAAATCCCAAAGGAATTTGAGTTTGAGAAACAAGGAGACTAATCCAGAGTATCTTCTGTCTTAAGGGAGTCAGTGGCTTATGGGTCTGGGGTCTGGCTACTTGAGGGGGTGTCTGTTAGATTTGTGGACTCCTCTTAGCTGCTGTCCAGGAGATGGAAATTTGCCAACCTCATGGCTGATTGTCCTGTTTCTAAATGTCCTATCCATCACTACTTTTTGTTCTCGGTACCTCAGGCTGCGTCCTGACTGTGCAGCCTCTGGTATCGTTTAGCTTGATCTGACTTGCCAGCCTGATTGTGTTGCTTAACCACATTTGGCTGTGGTTCCCAATGTCGAGTTTTTGTTTTGTTTGTTTGTTTTTCATGACACATAAGCTCTTTTGGGAGCCGGCCTCGATTCCTTCCTCTTCATCGCAGCCTCTGCCCTTCAAGTTCCAGTATCAGGAAGTTACTTACCGTCCCATGAGCTCTGATGTCAGTCTCTTGAGCCTTCATTTGGCTCTCTTTCCCTCTCAGTTCGATGCTTCCCCCCTGTGGAGAACCTTTGCTGACCCTCCCAGCTGACCCAGGGCTCTGTATCCTTGCTTCACTCTGTCAGGGATGGGGGTGGAGTTAAGGAAGAAGAGAGATGGGACTTTCCCATCAGGCTGCATGTGTTGTGTTGTCTGCCCTCTGGAAGGCGAGGGCGGGTGCTTCCACCCCTGCATCCTTGCTTAGCACTGTAGGTGTTAATTGTGGCCCGTGTCTTAATTTAAGAAACATGGAGGGCTGTTTGCCAGGCTCTGCTCGGGTGCTGCACGTTCACCTATGAGGAGCAGATGCGGCCCTGCTCTTCCGGTCTGAAGGGAATTGGAGGCAGTAGATGAAGTGGCGCTGGTGAGGATGGGAGCAGCTGGGCGCC